GGAGACACTAGAGACACAGCACACACAAATATAAGTGAGTTTAAATAGCTTTAACCAGTAACAACTATGAGAAACTCTTCCTAGTGGTGGGCAATCACAAGTCTACCACCCCAAAGTGAATTCTGCTCTCTTTAAATTAGGATGGGGTTGTTTGGCTGCTTTTGTAAGTGCAAGTAGAATCTGCCAAATCACTATTTTGGGCTTATTTGTCATTCTTTGACATCTAAAAGCCTTCCAAGACACTTGCAGGGGGATGGTGCATGTGTTAAAAAAGTATCCACAAGCCAAACAATAAAAAAAAAAACCACCACTCACACAAATATTCATAATACTAAATTTGTTAAAAATTCAAGTACCCAGAAAACCAGGGAGGTGAACCCCAACCTTTGGGACTCACCATACTACATGTACTCAGAAAAGAACTACTGCTTATCCAAACCACTTTGCAGTGGGCAAAATAATTATCTACAGCCAACCCTTTGGTTGCTGCCATTCCACTGGCCCCATCTCTAGAAAACCTCTAAGGGGAGAAAAGAGAAAAAGTTGTCTTATCACTCTCTGCAGCCTTGCTGCAGACCGTAACCAACAGGAATGTCTTTCCTCAGCCAGGGGATGCTTGAAGACTCTTTGTAACTCTTCATGCATTTTGGTTTTGAAAGGCCCAGCCCACTTCAGATATTATTCCACTGAAATAGATCAAGTACTGCAGAGAAAAGGGGTTAGATTTCAAATGGGCACCACCTCTTCAGAGGCAGACAGAAGCAAGAACAGAAATTCTTACAAAACTTTACTTCAGCAGTAATAGAAGCAAGTGCAGCTAGAAGCAGCCTGCTTTTGCACTGCTCATAACTCAGACCTATGTTGTAGATGGAAAACTAGGCAGCGAATGTCCAAGTTTAATTTACTCAGCCATTTTAATTTATGAGGCTGACCATAAAGCGTAAATACCAAACAAATGGCTGTCAAAGTCTCACAGTAACTTAGGTGTTTAAGCTGCACCAGTTCAGATAAGCTCAGACATAACTAAGACTAGATATAAATATTTTCTGATATATTAGGCCGAATCCTTCCTTGGTGTAAGTTAACATAACTCCACTGATTTCACCGAGACTTAGTCTGCTGGTTTTGGCTGGGATAGGGTTAATATTCTTCACAGCAGCTAGCATGGGGCTGTGTTTTGGCTTTGTGATGCAAACAGTGCTGATAACAGGGATGTGTTCTTTATTGCTGAGCAGTGCTTACACGGAGTCAAGGCCTTTTCTGCTTCTCATACCGATCCACCAGTGAGTAGGCTGGGGGTGCACAAAGAGTTGGGAGGGGACACAGTCGGGACAGCTGACCCCAACTAACCAAAGCGATATTCCATACCATACGACAACATGTTCAGTATATAAAGCTGGAGAAAGAAGAAGGAAGGGGGAGTGGCATTCAGCATTATGGCGTTTGTCTTCCCAAATGATCATTATGTGTGATAGAGCTCTGCTTTCCTGGAGATGGCTGAACACCTGCCTTTTTTTGCTCCTTGTTTTGCTCTGTGTGCGTGCATGGGTTTTGCTCTACCTACTGAATGGTATTTATCTCAACCCACGAGTCTTCTAACTTTTACCCTTGTGATTCTCTCGCCCATCCCACCAGGGGGAAATGAGCAAGCAGCTGTGTGGTGCTTAGTCTCTGGCTGGGGTTAAACCACGAGACTCAGCAATGTTTTGATTTTCCCATATGAAAATAAACAGTACTTCCAGCATCACTGGATACTCACATCTAATAAAACAATGTAACTGAATCTCTCACATGACATTACTGTCAACCTGTCTGTTGTCATTTTGCAGTCCAGATTAAAGAAAGCTTTCACTTTGTCTCCTTCCAGGTATGACCATGAATCCCCACTGAATGCGACAGGATGGCATCACAGCAACAATGACAAAAATCTAGTGGCTGTGCTCCTGCTTGCTCCAATTGCTTCCAATTATCCTGACAGAGCTCTGCATTTCGAGGAAGTAATTCTTCCAGAGAATAACAGTGATCGTCATATATCTGCTATGTAATCAATTGCCTAGCCCAAGGAATCATCGAATCTCTATCACATCTTAACTTAGAGGGAGGTTAGTCACTTTTGGATAGGAGGAGGACTGGACAGAAAAAGGGGAGGCCAGGGTTGAGACAGTATCTATAAATGCAAACATGATGAAGGCAGAAGATTGTATCATTCTTCTGAATACTAGAGCCTATGTTGTTTCTAGAGTTGATTCTATGATTCTATGATATTGTGAATTGCAATGAATCTGGTGGATGTGCTGTACCTATCAGCGTCTGGATGGCGTATTCTTATCAGACAACCAAGCAAATACTAGCACAGGGTCACCACCATGGAAAGTGCAGTGTCAAAAAAAAAAATCCTATCACTCTTAGTAGCATTATTAAATGTCTCAATCTATTGTTGACATGTCTAGTGTAAGATCAGGACATAATTGTTACTCAGAGAGAGAGAGAGGGCTGCTCATGAAGATACAAGATGAAGACTGACCTGCACTAGCAACAGTATCATTAACTTGAAACTCCTGCTTTGTTTTCCTTCTTCCCCCCAGAAAGGACAGAGATTGTATTGTTAAACCAGCTAGAAGTACATTCAATGTGCAGGCTGTGGAAAATGTACCAGTTATTGAACAACATAAAAATAGAAGAAAAATTTGCTATTATCATGACTGTTAGTTTACAGGGAGGGAGTGGACAGGTAAAGAACAACAAAAATCTATTTCCTGTCTAATTTACTGGCTAATTTGAAGAAAAAAAAAATATAATAAGGGAAGAATACAGAGAAGAAAAAAAAAAGAAACAAAGAACAGGAAAAAATATGTCTAACAAAATTTGGGGTCCTTTCCAAAACCTTTGAACCGAGAATAGGTTGAAACCAATCATGTTCATTGCCCAAGCAGGCAACTGTCACAGTTGCAGGCAGAGGTAAGGTGACCACAAAGGCAAGACCACTTAGCAGTCTGGGGGCTAAATGACTGGTAAACAAGACCGGTTTTCTATGACATGGCTAATTCTGAGAAAAAGCCCCGTGATGTCCCTTTTTGGTACTTTTCAGTTACAACTCCAGTGTTATTAGTCTCTGTAACAACAGTAGTTAATGTACCTCTAAACTTATGAATCTAACAAACGTAAGAGCACTGCATTTTGTTGAACTTAGAATCATGTTCTGTGCTTTCCTTTTCCCCATGCCTGTGGCCCTCTGACAGCAGAACCATCGCAGCTCTGCTTTTTGGCATATTGCACAACACAGCTCCTGCACAGCTGGACTTTGTTCCCGGCCGCCTCTCCTGAGGGAAGTACACAGCAGGGCAGGAAACATTCCTCGGTTACCTTGCTTTAATTCTCATAAAAGACAGAGAGGCCTCAGGCTCTACTATAGGCCATATGCTGCAGCAATGTCAGAAGAGTAGCTGCAGAGCCTCTAGGTGCCAAATCACTGTTAACTAAGAGAGAATTCCAGACCCTCCTAGATCCCATGACTGCAGCTTATTTACTTAGCTTTGGATGCATAGATGTGAGCTGCAAACAGTCCCTATGGCCACTAACTGAGCTAGGAACAGAAATCAGCTTTAAGAAATAGGTAAACATTGGGGGCAGGTGACACTAGAAAGAAAGCAGCATGAAGCACAGCCATTCAGACAGCACACGTAGCTTTTCAAATGAGTTGGACCAGCAACGCCGTGCTGCGGAAGAGCCCTGAGCAATGGCGCTGTGTCAGAGGTCATGATGCTTTGAACAGGCTAAAAAGAGAAGAAAAACACAAGAGAGATGAAGCAAAAATCTCTCAATGATTTTTTTTCTCCCTCGCTACAAGATAACAAAAAACAATTCCATGTATTTTGGCACCACCACTTCTAAGAACAGATTAATTCTGACAGAAAGCAAGGAGCTCCACACATCCACAGACCAGCACTAGCGTACAGAAACATTATCTTTCAGCTTTTGTGAAGTGCCTATGGTCCTCTCACCAACGTCCATCAGTACGAGCTGACAATTTCAAAAGAAATACCAGTGGTTCACAGACACAGATAGATTGGATAACCTTTCCCCAGAAAACTGGCCTTTAACAAGAAACAAAGCAGCAATGAGGTTAACTGTCCAAAATTACATCATAGCAATTGATGTTGTATTTTGTGGCTCAAGTCCCCCATGCTCACTAACGTAGAATTGATCAAACTGATCATCACAGCTGCAATGGGAAGGAGCTGCTAGCAGGATGCTTCGGCAAGGCACCCTCCCCTGAACACAGACACTACCAGTTTCATGACCAGAAGGCAAACTTGTTAAGAGTTACAGAATGCGGACTTTCAGCTTAACATTTGGCCAAGCTGAAGACCTCAGTGTATCTTACACTTCAGGTGACATTAAGTACATGAAAATAACTGTGCCATAACATAGTCCACTCTAGACAGGGGAACAAGTTTTGGCCAAGTAGTTCATCTGGTGACATGTGCAGTTACAGACAGACTGAAATTCCCAGGGAAAAATCACAGCCCAATTAAGGAATGATTTTTTTCTCCAAAACAAAAGACAGTTTCATCCGAAAAACATCAGGAGTTCAGCTTCTAAAACAAAAGGTGGGTTCTTTTAATTCTGAAACTACATCTAAATACTGGCTTTGCTATATCAAATTTTTAAAAATTAAAGAAGTACGTTCTCTGTAAAGGAAACCATTTGCACAAACTGAGCTTGTGTATTATCACTGCTGATGGAATCTTGAGAGTTGTCTTAAAGCATCACACACAAATTGCTCTAAATGTCAGAACAAATTAGAGAGCTTCGTCTGCCTCCCTGAGTGACTTTCATTCCTCATGTTCTCATTTATCTCTTGCAGATCAACTGGTAGAACTGGGGTTTGTTTCACCCTAGATAAAGCACAGCCTTCCCGTACAAGACTTGCAGTTTATGCTATAATTTAAAACAACTTTACAAACCTACGTTAACAAACAGACCAATCAACTACTTACTGTTCTTCTTGTACATCAAGATTTCAAAGGAGTTCATCTCATAGTTCTCAAATGTTTGCCGGACCTTGTCAATCGTATCTTTGTCTGTCAGCTCTCCATACATAAAACTGCAAATAAAGCGAGAAATCCAAGTCAGATACTAGACAGACAGCCATTTGTTTACAGCGTGAAAAGGACCTGTTTAGAAACAGCCCTACTTTGATTTTGTTTCACCTGGAAAGCATATTTGACAGATGCAGCCCCAGGAGATAAAAGACAAAACTGGAACAAACAGATTACTTTTCTCCTCAAGCAATAAGCACAACACTACAAGCTATTTAACAGAAAATAAATCTGTTCTAAAATACCTGCAGGTGCTGCTTTTTTGCATAACTTCTGCTCTGTGATATCCTGATAGCTTGCAAAATCCATCGTTGCTGTAGACAATGGGCCAATCCACTATCTGGGCATTGCCCAAGACAAAATTAGTATCTGTTTGAAAGATGACATCAGTTAGACATTTGATAAGGCTGTGGTTGCATTAAAGGAAATAGTCATTTCAGGACCCAAACCTGATTGTTTCAGTCCTGCAGAGTTTTTCTCAGATACTATTCCCACTGCAGTCAATAGGATTATTCCCAGTTTTAATTTTAAGTAAATCCTTATTTTTAAAAAAATATTAATTACTCATGCAAAGCTTAAGAGGATGGTTTTATGCAAACGAAAACCACAACAGTTAAGCAGGTAAAATTCGTCTCTTGACTAAGGACAGATTCACCAGTGTTTCCCTCTGTGCCACAAGCACTGATCCACCACAACGCCCAGTTTGAATGCGAAGCCTCTTACACAGCGTGAGCAGTACTTCTCCTCTCTGAATGTAGACACAGTTGCTTCTCTCAATGTTGCTTTCACTTCTGGCCATACAAGCTCAGCTACTTCTGTGATGTGTACGGCACAGCGCTCCAAACTAGTCACCATACAACTAGGGTTAGCACTTACAGCAGCAGAAAGAACTTTTTGTTTACTGTAAAAGCCAGGAGTTTCAGTCAGCAAGAGAAAAAAAAAAAAACAAACCACACCTCTGAGCAGGATTCACACCTCCATTTTCACTGGATCTATACATGCTACTTTTTATGATTGCCATCTCATTCAGACCCAACGCTGGGCCCAGACTCTGCTTTTCTCTGCTGCTTTGCCTCCTGTGCAGTCCACTAACTGCACCCATGCCCAGACAGAGAGCAGCACTGCTGCTGGGACACTGGCAGGCAGGAGATGGTGGCTCCTTTCACAGATCCAAAGACCCCCTGGCTTTGGAAAGAAAGGCTAGGCAGCCACATGAGATTAAGAGGCCTTCAGATTTAAGGGAAGCCTTTAAGTGAAGCCACTGTGCTGTCTACTTTCCCGGATCTACCCCTGACTGCTCAAACATGCATAGTTGTCATTAATGCTTCTTGCAACCAAAAGATACAAACAAGACGTTTTACCTATTAATTGCAAAGAATTTTGTTAATCTTTACTTTCCCTTACAAAATCTTTTGTCCCATTGCAAATCTCGTGGGTTTAAATAAAACATTCCTGTGGCTACCTAAATCCATCGCCCAATCCTATGAGCATGATTAAATGTATCTTCATACACTCTTTAGAATCAAATACAACAGTAGTGTAACTTCAGGACATTTTAACCGCTTTGTTTCTCACCGCCTCTTTTAAATACCATGGTTTTTGCTTGGTTGAAGCACTTTGTTCCAAAAACAATACATGTCTTCTACCCCTTCCTATGAATAAGTAAGCCAAGTCATTTCTCATTGCTAAAGCAAGTGCTTTTGAGTGTCTGTTATAAACACTGCATTGTACTGTGTTGGGATATTTTTAAATTTTCATCAGGAAGTACAAAAAAAATGACAAAAAAATATGCAAATATAAATGTTAGGCCAGGTCCTTCCCTGATCTGAATGGTGTTATTTCATGCACGCATTCCTTCTCACAGTCTCCCCTTCTCAAAAGGTAACTTACCCTTCGCTTCCTCAAGAGCTCCTTGAAGGGCTTCTATTAACTTAAGCAGTGGCCTTCCTTTCACTTAAACCTCAACATTGTCTTTGGATAAATAATCTTTTTTTTTTTAATTAAAAGCGACATAAGGCACTTTTCTGATGACCATTACTGTGCAAATCGTACCTTTACATAGCCTTGCTACTCTCCTGTGAGGTACAACAGTGCTCTCATCACGTTCTTACAGGTAAAAACCAATCACAAGGTCCACAAGAGGATTTAAGCACCAAAAGGTGAGACTGCTACAGCCTAGCCCCCAGTTGCCCAGCTCTCAAACACTTGGGACCTGGAAGCTCCATGCGCAGTGTTGGCGAAGCAGAACTGAAAATCATAAGCACAGCAACCAGAAACCTGCCCAAGTTAAACTATGGAAAACAAATTAAAAAGTAGAAATTCTAAGGGATTTTTTTTCCCTTTCCTATATTACTTAGGATACCTAACATTTTAACATAAGCCCAGTTCTCACAGATAATACCCAAGATTCTTTTCCAGTATTGCAGGAGCTAAAGACTCACATTCCCACTCGCTTACCTTTTGGCCCAATGAAGCATGATTTTTTTTGGACTGGTAGTTTCCAGAAGATCCTTGGAAAACTCACAAATATTTCCCTCCCCACTGAGAGCCTAGCAAGTTTGTCTGTTGCCTTATGAAATGTGGGGCTACCTGAGGGAAGTGAAAGCTCAGCCTTCATTTCAACTCCTGAATGACGTACAGAAGAGATGTCAACGTCCTCACCAAGTGAGTTTTTAGTCACTGTGACTTGGATGTTGTATTTTATGCAACCCTATTAGGCAATCCTCTTAGTCTACACTGTCTACACTGAGTGAGCGTCTCTGGGAAGTGGAGGTAAAATACTTCGCTGGAGAGCCCAGGTTGGGTTTAGTTGTGAGTTACAACCAAGCTGAGAGATCTCTATGTATCTACAAAGCTTTAAAGGCAACACCTTGGGCACCTATCAATTCAAAGAGCAAGTCAGAAGTTTTGATGATCCCACTGTTACATAAACGTCACACTTCTAGCTAGTTCGTACTTCATACACCTTCACCCTTCTTTGATCCAGGACTTACATAGCTGACAAACACAGAGGAAGTAAATACTGAATTTGGTTCCATTATCTGGAATCAACATCACACTCCTGACTCATCTGTGGGCTTCTTCCTCCAACTCCACTGCCATGCTTTTTTAGTCTTTGCCCTGGGATGATCCCTTGATCCAAAAAAATGCCCTGCAAGGGCCAGTGCTTGGGAACTCCTCCATGTAATCCTGCAGAGAAGCTGTCGGCCCCTCCAAACACAGCAGCCACGCAGACAGAAGCTGTAGTGTAGCACCATCCAAACTGCTAGGCCAGGAAAGAGGTTTCCAACACACCACCCTTTGCCTGCTTTCCTTGGGAGGTTACCAGGCTCAGGATCATCAATTCCTTTGTTCCAGATTTTGTTGCAGAAGGACAGACGATCTGCACTGGTGGTTTTCAAACTTCCTGTACCCACCTTTTTTTAACTCGCCATGGTCTAACAGACCACAAAGTGGGAGCCCCATCATCTGCAAAGAAAGAGTCTTGGAGACAAACAGGAATTTCTCCCCAATTACTCGCTCCTCTTCCCAGATCTCTTTAAAGACAACACAATGACACAACGGTGGTTCTGCGCCTACATGGAGAACATGCCTACTTTTCTACAGGAGCATCTCCAACAACGGTGTTTTACCAGTGTGAACGCTGGCAAGACAAAGCATAAAATAAGGACTCCCACTTATAATTCCCCTGCATAGTTTGTTCTGACAGATAACCCGGAGGTAGAAGGGCTGTTCTCATTGCTACCATTTACTTACAATTGCATTGACGTCCCTGACAATGTGCTGCTTGGAGACAGCTCATAATCTGTTAAACGATTGTTCCTAACATAAGAAAATAATAAATAACATCCACAGAGGCAAATATTGCCTCTCCATCTGCAGGGACACAGGGTCCCAGAGGCCAGGAAACAGCTGTGGCTTTGTTGCACAACAAGCACAAGGGATGCTCTAGTGAACTCTCTTGAGCACCACAGGGCAAAGCCTCTTGGGGACTCACAGTGGGTCAACAAGGCCAGGAAAGGAGCTGGTCAGACAAAGACCATGAAGAAATCCATGCCAAATTCTCTTCAAAGACAGCAGGTAAAATGTACATGCGATAGCTGCAGTACTCAAACTATTTAGTGGCTTGAGGCACCTCTTTGAAAGGACTCAAAGGACTCCCTTACCAGGAAATCAATTTCTATCATGATGTCAATTGGGTTAGCAGTAATCCCTGGCCCAAGAAGAAGCTGTCAGCATCATTGGCCCTTCTTATCAGCTCCAAGAAGAATTGAGCTAGGAACTGGAGAGGGCAGGCTCATATAAAAGACCTGGGGTTCTGGCTTGTGCTGCATTTCGCACAGTCCGAGCAAGACCGTTGGGAGGCACAGAAATACGTAAAGCACAGCACAGAGCAAGCCATGTTACAGAAACACAAGAACTGCAGCATCCCAAAGGCAGCAAGATGACTTGAATGAGTAGGATGGGCTTCTGTGATGAGGGTCTGCTGCACTGATTCCTTGTATGAAGCGTCCCACTTCCTATTTTCCAGCCAGCATTTCCCACAAGTCAGTTCTGTTCACTGCAGTATATCCACATATCAGCCTTTACACGCTCAAATGTCAGACCCGTTTTGGATTATCACTTTAAATTAGTCACAGCTGCTTTAAAGCAACAAGAAAAACATTTTAACTCCTTCCAAAATGTAAGAATGGATTTTGCTCAGTCACTGAAACCAGTACTTGCCTACACTCACAAAACACATCATCACAGAAGAATCAGAAAATGTCTTTCAAACACAATTCTTTACCAACCACCAAACTACTAACTCTCCCATCAGTCTCCAACAGAACACAGATTGCTCTCCTCATTACAGGTCACAGCCTTCACGTTGGGCGAGGACATAAGCCTGGTTATGGAGACCACCATGTCTTATCATGTCTCAAACTCCTGCCACACATCTTCAGTGGGGCGAACCTAGGCTTCTAACATTACAAAGCACAAACCACTACTACAGCAGAACTAACAGAACCCCTTAGTAAATAGGTTTCTCGCTCTCCACATAGTCAGTGGGGATAGGGGTGGTGGATACAGCCTCCTTGGCCACTGTTCCCTTAGCTGGGCACAAAGCAGCAGAGGTGTTATGTCACAGAATGCATAAGAAATGGGCAGTAGGCAAAAATCACATGCAAAGGTCTCATGATTAAAGACTGCATCACAGAGCTGAAGTGCAAGGGACAGGTGACTTTCTAAACGATTATGGTATTTACAAACTTGTGACTTTGCATCACAAGTAGCATTATAGAATCATAGAATGGTTTAGGTTGGAAGGGACTTTAAAGACCATCTAGTTCCAACCCCCCTGCCATGGGCAAGGACACC